CTGGAATTGTCTGGTGGCATTTTTCACTCAGATGTCTGGGTATTGATATTGGTTGTCAGCTGGGACTATCATTTGGGGCTGTTGAGGGGCAACTGCAGGAGCCACTCCTTGTGGTGTGGGCTTCAGGCAGCCTCAGGGCATTTGGGCTTATTAAGCGGCAGCTCTTGCTTCAAAAGAGACACTTCAGCAAACAATGTAGAAGCTGTATCACCAGTTACGAGCTGGCGCAGGAAGTCACGTCCTTTTACTTTTACCATGTTGTAGGGTTATAAGGGAAGGGGAATTAGGTTCTACCTCTAGAAAGGGTAGTGAAGGTTCTAGAAGAGTATATTGAATGGGAGATATGGTTGCAGCCCTCTGTAGAGAAACACAATCTGTCACGGGTGATGAATCTGCCTTCGTTACAAATTAAACTCATTTGAGATTAAACTCCTTGCCCAACTCCATCCCCAAATGCTCTATTATTCCCAACTTACCTGTTTTTATCAATGATACAATAAATCTGGAATTTGTTATTGCTGACTACAGCATGCCTCACTCTTCTGTTGTACTTTAAAACCCATGACTTAGTGAAACATTGGAGAGATGGAGGGACTAAAAGGAGAAAAAGTACTCTTTCTAAGGAGTAGACAATCAAGAATTTATTTAATTCTATATGTCCTTATTGAGCATTTACTGTGTGCCAGGACAATGCCGGCTGCTGAGGATGCAAAGTTGAAAAATAATGCGGTATGTATAATGATGGAAAGCATGGGATTTTGTCAGCTTTGGTGATCATTGTCATCATCATCATCATCATCCCTTAGATTAGGGTTCTGCTCTCTGGAAGCTTATAGTCTAGGACTAAAAATATGGCCAAGGCACTCTGAAAAAGAGTTTGGCAGTTTCTGATAGAGTTAAACAAACACCATATAACCACCAATCCTATTCCTAGGTGTTTACCCAAGTGAAATAAAAACCTATTGAGTGAAAAAAAACACATTCAGTTTCTCCCACTTATGCCCTCACAACATGCTTGTGTCACCAGATGTGTGGGGAGTTCTCTCCACCATCAAGCAAGCAAGCAAGCAATTCTCTGCAGCAGACACCAACTGAGTGTCCTCCAAGTCAGTTCTGACACTACCTGCCTGGAGACAGCTGTCAGATCCCACAGGCTGAAGGCACAGTTCCCAAGACTGTCCCCCACTTCACATGTCAGTTGCAAGTCCAGGCATCTGGAACTTCTGACCAACTGGCTATAAATCAGGTTTCCCATGACCCATTCCTTTGGTTTGATTAGTTAGCTTAAGTGGCTCACAGAACTCAGGGAAACACATAGGTTTATTGGTTCATTATAAAGGATATTACAAAGGATATGTTGTGAGGCCCCCTCCCACAAGAATGCACTTACACGCCACTCGTGCAGAAAAGGGCAGTTTATTCACTCCATCTGGCCAGCGTCCGTCTCCCAAGGAGCCACCAAGGAAGAGTGGCATTGGGCCTTGGTCTTGTGGGGTTTTTAAAGGCAAAAACTACATCCCGTTGGCACACGGGTTTTTCCAGGTGCACAAAGCAAGCTAGGGAGCTAGGTCGCAGAAGCCAAGAATGAGCTGTTAGAGCAATAAGCATACAACTTTTCATTGTGTATGTTCCCATGTAATAGTTCACTGTATATGGTTCCTGTTCCCATGTAATAGTTTACTGCGTATGGCTCCTGTTTCTATGCAACGGCTTTTGTTTCTATGAGAAGGTCAATGGTTTCTCATGCAGAAGCGGGGGTAGTCCGCAGGGCAGATGGGGTAAAATGGAGTTACTTAGGTTAAGCAAGCAATTCTACAGAAGCAGATAGTGTACATTATGAGGGTGCAGGGAGCTCTATTTCAGATACAGATGAAGAGAGGCACAGGACAAGGTATGAGGGAAGGGACACAGAGCTTCCATGTCCTCCCTGGGTGCTCCAGCCTTTGGGAACCTCCATATATTCAGCTCCCTAAACCCTGTGCGCTTGGATTTTTATGGAAACTTCCTTACACAGGCATGACTGAAGCATAAACAACCGTGTAGAAACATGATTGGATACAAAGGGTATGATCTAACGCTAACAGATTGAGTGGGGAAACCCAGTAAGGCCTGTTTGTTCAGGTTCTCCTTGGCCTCTCTGTGCAGCATTTCTTCCTCCCAAGTACGAGGCAGGGCCTCTTTTGACATGGGGGTCTTATTACCCACAATCAGACTTAAGGTAGGTCAGAGGATTTCTTTATGGCCAGCTCCAAGACAGAAAGGCAGGGGAAGATTAGAGTCCTGCCTTGGGGAACAAGAAACAGCGGATGAAAATCAATTTATATATCATATTACATCTACGTTCACACAAATACCTGCATGTGAATATTTATAGATGCTTTATTAATAATCTCCCCAAACTGGAAACAACCCAAAGGTCCCTCAGCTGGGGAATGGGAAATATGAATAGTGGTGCATCATATGATGAAATACTAAGAAATGAAAAAAAAAAAAGGACTGAAACATGCAACAACATGGATAAACCTCATGCATTATGCGAAGTGAAAGAAGCCTGTCTCAAAGGCTACATACTGTATTGTTCTATTCCTATGACCATAAGGAATATAAAAGGCAAAACTATTAGGACAAAAAACAGACCAGTGGTTGAAGGGGCTGAGAATGGGGGTAAGGGCTGGTTATAAATGGTCATTTTTTTGGAAATGGGACTATTCTGTATTTTGATTTTAGTGGTAGTTACACACACCTGTATGTATTTGTCAAAACTTGGGGAACTGTACACTAAAAAGGCTGAATTCTACTGTGTGTAAACTTCACCTTAATAATAATAATAATAAAATACATATGTATAGGCAATGTATGTACAGGCGTGATAGCATCAGAGAGGTGGCATGACAAGGTGGTTAGGAACATCAGTTCTGCAGTTAGCCAGCTTGGGCCCAGAACTCCTGGCTGAGTTTTGGAGAAGGTGCTTACCTCTTAGACACCTGGTTGGCTCTCTTAGTGCTCCATAGTTCTGTCGTCAGGATTATAAGAGAGAATGCAAATAAAACACTTAAAGATGTGGGTGGCACATAACAACCACATCCCTTAAAAACAATAGGGGTAAGTTCTTTGGTCTAACAAAGTGGATTAACGAAATCTTCGCAGAGGCAATAACGTGTGATCAGGCTTTTAAAGATAAGCAGGAGGATGGCCAGTTAGCTCAGCTGGTTAGAACACCAAGGTCAAGGGTTTGGATCCCCATATTGGCCAGCTGTCCAAAAAATAAAGATGAGCATGGGTTAATGAAGATTAGGGAAAAGTGGGTAAGTGTTGGGAATAGCATTGTAACAAGAGGGAACAGCATATGCAAAGGCTAAAACAGAATGGTATGTTTGAAGACCCTCAAACATGGGCATATCTGGAGCATTAAGTTCAGGGGAAGAACCAGGAGAAAGGGCAATATGGATGATAGAGGGTAGAGTTCAGCAGAATGGAGTTGTGACTGGCCCATTTGAGAATCTGCATTACTTTTGTTTCTTTCTTTTTTTTTTTGGTGGTGGCTGGCTGGTAAGGGGATTTGAACTCATGACCCTGTGGTTACCAGCATCATGCTCTCCCAGGTGAGAATCTGCATTTCTAACAAGTTTCCAGAGGGATGTGGATGCTGCCGGGCCACTTGGAGCAAGAAGGGTATAAAGGTCAAAGGAGGAAAGTGTCTCAGAACATCATGTTGAAGATGACGAAGCACTAGTTGAGATGAGGACCGAAAAACTCATTATCAACCTGTAGGTTGGGGTGTCCTTAGTGCAAGCAATTGGTGGATAGGTAAGAATAGAAATCACAGGGCCGGCCCGTGGCTCACTCGGGAGAGTGCGGTGCTGATAACACCAAGGCTGCGGGTTCGGATCCTATATAGGGATGGCCGGTTTGCTCACTGGCTGAGTGTGGTGCTGACAACACCAAGTCAAGGGTTGAGATCCCCTTAAAAAAAAAAAAAAAAAAAAAAAAAAAAGAATAGAAATCACATTGGAGTGGTTGATGATTGTCTGCTGGGGCGGCAATTGAGAAAATGAACATAAACAATTTTTTTGTGCAGTTTGGCTTTGAAAGGGAACAAGAGACCCAGGGAGGAAGCTGGAGGGGAAATTGATGTTTTTACCATAAGATGGGAGACACTTGAGTATTTTTTTTCTTTTTTTAGTGTGGGGGCTATTGTCATCAGACAGAAATATTTTTTAAAGCTTATGAGAAGGATACTATGAAAAAGAAGAGGTTGAAGGCACAAGAAATAATGGGGTGACCTGAGAAGTGTGGAGTTGCCAGAGTTAGCAAATAAAAACACAGGATTCCCAGTCAAATTTGAATTAAAGAATAACAGTGAATAATCTTTCAGTGTAAGTTTGTCCCAAGTATTGTTGGGTGCACCGTATTTCCTCTGGGAACCCTAAAATCGGAGATTTTCAGGTGAAAGGGCAGCCCCATTTTTACTAGGAGCGCTCACGTCCTTTCCAGCTGTCACATGCCAACACTCGAATGCATTCCCAGCTCTACCAGAACTGTCAACATGTACAAAAACTGCTTTGAATTTCAGTTTTTGTCACTCCCATTCGCTCTAGGATGGCAAACAGGCAGGAAAATACTGGATGAAAAGCTGTGGAAAAGTTCGAGTTTGGAAAATCAGTTCGTAAATAGTGAGGACATTTTTGAACTGTAAACGGGCTCTGGAGCGGGTGCATAGGACAGTGAGTCACAGGGTGCCTGGCTCGGGTCCAACTCTGGACACCAAGTCTACTCGACTCAAGGGGAGGCAGGGAGGTGCTGCCGGAGAATCCAGCACGCGCCTGCGCACTGCCGCTGCCCCGTCTCGTCCAGCCTGCATCCGGGTCTCAGGCAGGGGCGTGTCCCGGCAGAGGGGCTGGAGGCTCCGGAAAGGAAGGATGTCGTGGGAGGCTGGAGAGCCAGGAGAGAAGCGAGGCGGGGCGGGGGCGGAGCAGGAGGCGTGGCGGACCGAGCGCGCAGTCACGTGGCGTACGTGGCGACGTGTCGGCCATCTTGTGTTGTTGAGGCTGAGGACTGACTTGGGTACTGAGAGACTCTGTCCCGGACCGCAGGTAACCGGCGACTCCGTCTCGCTCTCTTGCCCAGCTTCACTCCTCGCCCAGGCCCCGCCGCCGCGCCCCGGGCCGCTCGGGCCTCCCGCCTGCGCTCGCGTCCCCGCGGTTTCGGCCCAGCCCGGCCGCATGGACACCCACAGGCCGCCCTGGCAGCGGCCGCGGCCGCCCGGGGCGTCAGGCGAGGAGAC